GGAAAGGACGAGAAAGCCTTGGCAGCTTGAGCCATCAAGAAACAGCTGCACATTCAGGCAAGCCACCCCGATGGTCAGGACCCGTGGGACATCCGAACTAGCATCCTGCTCTTCCAAGATCCAGTACAGAGACCTGCGGATCTCTTGGATGCTCTCGGGATAGATGGAACTCCTCGGGCTCTGCCTGTGGCTGTTCCGCATCTCGCGCAGGTGGTGCTTCGGCATAGCGGTCACCATGCAGAATGGCAGAAGTTTAGGGTTACTAAACCTTTCTACACATTCAATCAGGGTACTCGGCCTGGTCATGGCTTAGGAAGCTTTACTCAAGTGGCTGCAGGACCGACCTCTCGAGAAATGTCTTCGGCGGTCTTCTGCCATGCGCTGGACTGTCTGCCCATCACTCTCCAGGGTTACATGATGTTACATGCTCTCGCCCATATCAGCCATCTCCCGGCTAGAAAAACGGCTGGAGAGTGCGTACGGACTGGTTACGGTTTGCTGATGCTCACTGCAAGCTGCCGGGATCCGACGTGAACACATGTTGAGCCTGATAAGACAGAACGGGTGCCAAAAGGATCAGCCGCAGATGCGACAGAACGTAAATCAGCTTCCAATTACAGCACCCAGAGAATGCAAGAGCCCTCAGGTAAGGAGTAATTATACTGCATACATCTGTATACTGTACCGTTTAGATCAGACCAGAGACCCTTCTAACTGCTATAACTCAATCAACCTTGCCAACACTGACTAGGCTCTCTGGGCAAACGCTGCTTTCCGCTTCTTCCGCGCGACTGGCTTCCTCCTGTAAATGTAAAGCGGCATCAGGAACCACAGCGGCAGATGCAGGACCTCGACACTCACAGGTTTGTACTGACCTCTTGCATACCATGCCGGGCACCATGATTCATCTGGCAGAGCACGAGTTTAAACCCTGCTGCTTTTTCATGCCGTGTGTGCCAACTCATCATCACTGCAGTAGACTTGCCGTGTTTGCGGAAAGCCAGACCTGTACACTGGCGCAGCAAGGATAACCTGCTGCATCCTGCTGCACGGCCTCTGCAGAGTTAAAGGCTCGCGCGCCAAGAAGTCTCCTTTGCCAAATCCGGCTACGCATGAACAACCACACTAGCCGGCTGTCACTAGCCCAAAGTCGTGCCTGAGCGGTAGTGCCTTAGGCACGGAGTGTGCTCTTGCATTTCCGCGCCAGCGCTCACGACTGCGCACATCTTCGCCAGTGCGAGGGCTTCACATCTTCCATGGAGCCCAGCAGGTGAGAGAGCTTCCTAAGCTCTGCAGACTTTGCAGGTAAGGAGGATTGTAGTTGGTGTCCCTGGCCCGGGCTTGTAGAACTTTCATAGCAGGATTGGCTAGACTTGACCATCTGTAGTCGCCTTTTTTGGAGGGCTTTCTTGCATTGCAGTCCTCACATGACGGATCATGTTCGGGTCCCTTTACCAAGGCCGCCTTGTTTTCACATTCGCCGGCCGATGACTTCGGGCTACTGCCGGAGTCAACATTCGCAGGCGCGAACCGGTACGAAGGACAGCTCTAGAGATTTTTTGCTCATACATGTGCGTGTGTGTGTGTGTGTGTGGGTGTATGTATATACATATATAAATATATACTTATAAGTATAATTGTAATTATAACTATAAGTGTATACATATACATTACATACATATGTTCACACATATGTGTGTATAACTCTGCAGACCTCCCCGATCTTCAAGGTTTTGCCCTGCTGCAGGTCCACGTGAAAGACAAGAGGACAATGTGGATTCCCTGAGATCTCAACATCGACAAGTCCCCGGGCAAAGTCATCCCGCATAAACTCTCTGTGCACGCTGATTTGAGCAGAGACCTGAGTAGCCAAGCATCTCCAGTTCTTCCGGGCCTGCCCCGGCCTCAATAAGTTGCTGCACCACAATCGCGTTCTCCTTCATGGCAGCATAGTAAACGGCCGATCGCCCGGAAGAATCCTTGATGTTGACGTCAGCCCGCGCGGCCAACAACGCTGTGATGACTTCCGGCGTGTTCTTGATGCAGGCCTGTACGAGGGGCGTTCGGCCCATCTCGTTGCAACTTTCCAGGTCCACACCCTGGCTGATCAAATGCAGTGCGAGATCGTTGAGCCTCCCTCGCACAGCAACATGCAGCACGTTGCTCCCGAAGTCCAGCAGCAGGTTTCCCTCGGCATCGAAACCGGCGCCCTCGTCGAGCAGCTGTCGCGCCTCTTCGAAGCGACTGTCGTTTGCGGCTTGGACGAACTTGCGCAAGAGTTGGCGGTAGTCGAGCAACTGCCCTGGAATTCGGACGATGACCAAGTCGAGGGAAGGGTCCGTGACGTCGTCTCGGTCTCGCTCTTTAAGGTCACGCCCTGCTGCACCAACTGTAT